GAGTCCCTCCCCACCTCTCCTGTACCCCCCCTTTCAGCACTGAAGGCCGCTCGAAGGCCTTCCCGGAGCCTTCTCTTCTCCAGGTTGAACACCCCCAACTCTCTCCTCATAGGGAGGTGCTCTGGCCCCCTGATCATCTTCCCATCCCCCTTGCTCATACTGCCAGTCAGTTACGACAGTGGGTCCCACGCGGAGAGATGAAGGAGTCAGGAGCAAGGAGATGAATTTTATTCTGACAGTGACCTCAAAATAAAACCACATTGATTCAGGAGGATGTATTTGCTGGCTGTACACACAGACTTTTTTTTTGGCTCTGTACAAACTCTGGCATTGCCACCTCTGTCCCACCAGTGTCCCTTTGTCCCTGCTATCTCCTGCCCAGTTTGTCTGCCAAGGGTGTCGTTTTCCTGAGCAGCTTCAGCTGATCTGAGTTTGCTCTGGAAGAGAGCTCCTTCCCTCTTCAGCACAAGTGATGCTTGTGTTTCCCAGCTGAATTACCTGCCCTGCTGCTGAGCCAACTGAAAGCTCACCCTGATTCGTTTTTTTTTTTTGGCCTCATTAGCCACGTGGCTACACAATTCTCACAGCTAATATAAGGGAGGAACTATCTTTTCGGGAATCTTTGCAGAATGAATCAGCTCAAAGTAGCAATACAAGCTGTAAAGCAACGAGCTCCTACGCCAGAACAGCCACCAAAATACCTCAGCTGCCTTTTTTCCCCCCTTGCACCATGCCGGCCTTGCCAAGGGGCAGGAGCCAGGGCCAGGCCCGTGGGAACGAGGACCGCCTTTATTTGCGGTGGCACATCTTGGGGCCAGCCTTGCACCACCTCGCTTGTGGGGTTTTTTTGGGTAACAAGATTTTTCCACTTCTCTTCGCTGGTGGAGGTGTTGTGCCCAGCCAGGCACTGGTGTTTTTTAACCGTGGTGTTAGTGAAACTTGACTGGGGCTTCGACCTCACGATGATTGACTGTCAGCCCCAGATCTGCAGGTTAGGAAGCCATGAGGAGCAACCTCCAGCCCTGCTCTGCTGCTCTGGTCCGTCACCTCTCCGGCAGCCCAGCCCAGGGAGGGACCTGGCTCCTTTCCCACCGCCTCCAGCCCCTGCCCCACTGCAGGATAGATGTGTCAGGTCGCATAACTTACCAGGAAAGAGTCTTGGCAGTGGCAGCTGTTGGGGTGGAGAAGCTGGAAGCAATGTTTTGCCCTGTATGATAGTCCCATCTCACAGCACAGTTCCTATGGCCTTGGGTGTAAGAGTGACCAGGATTTCTAGGAATAGTTTGGGGGGACTTGGGTGCTTTTTCGAAGAGAAAGGTTGTCCAGAAGGTTGGTGGGAATCGCATAGTTCCATATATAGTAATACTTTTGTAGGTTCTAACAAGTTCCTCTTCTTTTCCTGCTGTTTCCTTCGTTTTTCCACGTAGAGTTTCAGATTTGGTCCCGAAATAGCTTACGTTGGAGCAACCATTCTGGATGTCTGCAAGGGGATCAGGAATAAGACATTAGTGGGTGGAAACCAAAAGGGTAAGTCGTGTCGATGCATCTCGGCTCTGTTCAGCGACTGGGAGTTCCAGGGCTGCTGCGTAATGATCAAAGCGCCTCAGGATTAACCCTGATTTATGAAGATCTTTGGGTTTAGATACCTGCTTCCAACTGCCCTGGCTAACTGGGAATTTCTGCATGCAGGTGATGTGAGAGGCAGCATGGAAGGGAAGATCACAGTCTTGTCACGAAGCAATTTTAACGTGTTCGAGGACGCCGTGAAACTTACTGGAAGAGAGAGGCTGACTAAAATACACGTGATCGGGGTAAGGGGAAATGGCCACTGTGTCTTTCACGTCCCAACCTCGAGTCCCCAAGCCTGACAGCACCTCTAGCAGCGACACCTATGTGTGGCTTGAAATAGGTGTGTCTGTAGCACCCAGGTTGAAAACTGAACGTTCCAGGAGAAAGCAGCCATCTGTGGTGGCTGGGGAAGAGTTCTGTGGAGCAGCTCTTCTCCAATCTGCAGGCTCCTTTTTTTTTTTTAGGCTCGTCTGTCCCTTTTTGGCATCAGGTTCAGACATGACGGTGGCAGCTCCAGCTTGCTGGATGGGGCTGGGGAAAAGTGATAAACGGCTGGAACAAGGCGCTGCAAGTATTTGCATTAGACAGAGCCTTCGGCTGCCAGCAGTGGCACAGGGTTCCTGCAATAGGGAAATAAAATCAGCTGTAATTGCAGGCGGAGTGTAAAAAGCCACGAAAGGCAGTTGGCTGTGCCCTGAGAGAATTTTTCAAGCTCTCTTGAAAGACAAAGACAGTGGTTGAAGCTTCTGGATGCCACAGAGGGCTGTGCTGGCCTAATTTCCAGTCCTGTGATGGTCTGGTCCATAGGAAAGCCAGGGGAAGTTGGTGCACCGGCCTTTTTGATGAGGGAAATGGGGATTTTCAGCACTGATGAATATGAACCCGTTGAGGGAGCAACGGTTCTGAGGTTTGCGCTGAATTTTCGTTTGCAAAAAAGGACCCGCGTGTCTGAAGGAGCAGACTGTGCGTGTGTGTGCGTCTGCAGGAATCCCCGGGCTTGAATCGCAGGGAGGTTTTAATAAAGCTCCACATCTCAGTAGCCTCGGAGGAGTTTGGTCTTCAAACTCTGGGATTTAATTTGAGATCTTGGTCTGCACCCAGAAATGCAGAAGCTCAAAGAGAATAAAAGGTTGGCCTGGTGCTGTTTGAGGAAGAGCCTAGTCTTTTGAATTTTAGGCTGCTTTTAAGTTTTAATCTTTTTTTTATTTATTTATTTTCTCTGGAAAGCTGCATATTGTAGTGGAATGAGTGCGCTGGCTGCCCAGCACCGAAATTCTCATCCGCTTTTGCAGTTTGGAGTAAGTCTAAATTCAGCCTGATGCTTCTTTTGATGGAACAAAACAAGCTGCATTTGGAAACAAAGGGGGGAAAATACTTTCTGAAAGTAGAAATTGCCCAAGCAAAGCCTTTTGTTTTCGTTTACACTGAAATTGAAACATTTATGGTCAGTTTAGCAAGTTTTATCTTCATTGGGGTGGCCCGTCCTTCAGAAAAGAGGATGCAGTTGTGCCTGGAGCTGGTTTTCCTGCAAAACAGCGTGGAGTCAATAGGCCAAAAGCCTTTAAAAGTTCATTTTAACAAAGCAATATGCAGCTATTAAAAGCTAAAATGACCAAACCCAGAACTTTTGGCTAGGAAAAGAGAAAACATTCTAGAAACCTTTTTTTTTTTTTTCTTTGAAAAGCCTTTGAATAGAGAATTCCGCCGTAGCTCTGTTATAACACCAATCGGAGAGTGTCCTGCCTGTCCGTCCGTCCGCAGGGCGGGCTGGATCGTTGCCTTTTCAGCTGCCTTTGATCGTGCTGCAGCTCGAGGGGTTTCAGGAAACCAGCTCTGCATCTTCAGCCCGTTTCCCTCTTACCACCACCAACCACTGGGCTCTGTTAGCCTGCCTAGAAACTCTAGACAGCACCTTTGCTCCTGGCTATTGAGATAAATTGTTGTTTGTTTTAGGGGCTTGCCCGTTTTGGCCTGAGCAGGATTTATGATATCTGGAAACTCAGTCAACCCGCAGAGGAACGGAAGAAAGGTGAGCAGGTCCTCAGCCTTCCCTCCGCACGTCAGCCTCCCTGCAGCGCCGCAGGTGCTGCTTTTGGTTTTGCTGCGGTGATGGGAAGCAACGCGTTTCTTGGGGGTTTGGGCTGTTTTTTCCTCGTGAAGGGATCTGTAGAAAACTGACTTCTTGATAGCAGTGTCACGGTGCTGTTTTGGCTGCTTGAGTGGCTGGGGGTAGTACCAGAAATGCCCAGATTCCCTGTGGCATGCAGCCCTCCCCAGCTTTCCTCTGCCATGTCTTATCTTGAGTGCAAGAGCCCAGTAAACTCATTAATTGGGGGTTTTTTCCCCCTATGTTTTCTGATTTGTCTTCATTTTTCATTTGTCTTGGGCTTTTTCTGTGTTATTTTTAAACCTGGTGAGTTAAATCCTCTGTCACACCCTTTCTTTTCACTAGTGGGTATCACTTAGTAAATAAATCATTCATTCAAAATCTCTTGGCAGCAGTAGGCAAGTATCGTTATTTGTAGGGCAGGGAGACGAAGAACTTACTGAACTGCTGTGAGTGATTGATCATGTGGGTGTTGTTACTGGTTCTTTGGAAGGTGAGCTACCAGGAGAACTCCTTGCCATCCCCCTCAAAAGGAGAATCATCACAGAATCGCAGAATTCTGTGATACTGCAGGTTGGAAGGGCCCTGGGGCTGTCTGTGCCCTGAGCCCTTGCTCCAGCCACTCTGAAGTCACCTTAGATTTTTTTTTTCACTCTGAGCAGAGTCTTTTCCCTTCGATTCCCAGAGGTTTGACGGTGTTTTGCATCAGTAAAGAGGAAATCCTGAGCGAAAACCACCTGTCACAGAGCAAGGAGTACAGCCCGAGCCCCTGCATCCCACACCAGCACTCGGTCCACAGCCTCACACTTGCACTGAAGTTGGATTAGAATTTGAAACTCCCACCATATGTGTCTGTTAAATAAACTCACGTCACCTGCTACTTTCTTTTCAGCAAACCTCGTTATAAACGACTCCTTTATCAAAAAGTGGGAAGAAACTCAGGGCTTCCTGGGTTTAAAGGAATACGCGGAGCGCATCGATGACAAAGACCTGGAAGTGAAGATTGCGATCGTGGAGAAATACAGAGAGCGGATCCCTGGGCTGGTGCAGAAGATTGAGAGCAGCCACGTGTCACACGAAGCCATGGCAGGTAAAGCCAAGCTGGGTCTTGGATAGAGGAGCAAATTCAGGTCTTCTTGGAAGCTGGATTTCAATCCAGCTCCGGTTCTGAAGCCACCTTGTTCTGCAAAACCACAAAGTTTGGATCAAGTCGGTCTTTTTGGGGAGAAAGGCAGTTGAACGGCAGCTTTTGGGTACATCTGAAGCCACCTTGTTCTGCAAAAATGCGAAGTTTGGATCTAGTCAGTCTTTTTGGGGAGAAAGGCAGTTGAACGGCAGCTTTTGGGGTACATCTGGGACTCCCGGTGGAGTTCAGTGCGATGAATCTGCCACCAAAGGATTGCTTAATGTGACTGTGCTAGAGGCAAATACACCTTTGGACACGGTATTTCCTACAGGACTTTATCCTGCTTTTGGGGATTGCTGTTGGAACCGCCCTAGAACTTACTGAGTAAAATTTGGGGAAGGGACAAAGCAAACAAGTAAAAAAAGTCATCAAATAAAGAGCATTCCTGTTTGGGAGTTGGGGCTGGGGCTCAGGCAGCGGACAACCACGCATTTTCCTTGGCAGGGAAGCCGTCTTCAGCAGCCTGGATGCCCAATAGAGGGGCTTTGCTTCTGATTTCTGTTTGGGGAGGTGCAGAATGAAATCAATTCATTTGACTCGGCGCCTCGTGGAATTAAAAATACTGTTATTGCTGCCAGGACTGATCTTTCTTTTCCTTCTTGTTCCCCATGTGCGCTGGTTACAGATTACGTGATAGGTACTGTCCACCAAGCCAAAGGCCTGGAGTTTGACACGGTGCTGATTGCAGATGACTTTGTGAGCGTCCCGTGTCTCAGGGGTGACAACCAGAGAAGACCCAACTTCAGTATCGGTAAGGGAACGGCTGCGCGTGGTACCCATCCTGCTCTGAAAGTGGGAAAGCAAAGCTTGTCCTGCGAGCCCCTACTTCTTGGTCAAGTCCTCATGATTGTTGATCTTGTAGTTCCCTTCACAGCGAGACAGGGGCGGGGTGTCACGGTTTGAGACTGGGCCGGCCACTAA